GTAGGGTGTGTAGTCAGCTAGTGCGTGTAGGTGTGTGTGAGGGGTGTGTGTAATGACTAGTGCGTGTAGGTGTGTGTGTGTGTGTGTAGGGGTGTGTAATGACTAGTGCGTGTAGGTGTGTGTGTGCAGGGGTATGTGTAATGACTAGTGCGTGTAGGTGTGTGTGTGTAGGGTGTGTGTAATGACTAGTGCGTGTGTGTGTGTGTGTGTAGGGTATGTGTAATGACTAGTGCGTGTAGGTGTGTGTGTGTAGGGTATGTGTAATGACTAGTGCAGTGTGTGTGTGTGTGTGTGTAGGGTATGTGTAATGACTAGTGCGTGTAGGGTGTGTGTAATGACTAGTGGGTGTAGGTGTGTGTGTGTAGGGTGTGTGTAATGACTAGTGCGTGTAGGTGTGTGTAATGACTGTAGTGTAGGTGTGTGTGTGTGTGTGTAGGGTATGTGTAATGACTAGTGCGTGTAGGTGTGTGTGTGTAGGGTGTGTGTAATGACTAGTGCGTGTAGGTGTGTGTGTGTAGGGTGTGTGTAATGACTAGTGCGTGTAGGTGTGTGTGTAGGGGGCAGATTGCATGTATTTACAATCAAAACGGATGTATGTACAGGACCTTATACACATTCGTTCCGATGTGTGTGTGCGTGTGTGTTTGTGCGTGTTTATACGTTCTTTTGTGTATGTCTGTGCGTCTTTCTGCGTGTGAGTGTTTGTGTATCTGTAATTATAATGTATTACCACAGGGAGAGTAACTGATCATACCACCACAGGGAGAGTAACTGATCATACCACCACAGGGAGAGTAACTGATCATACCACCACAGGGAGAGTAACTGATCATACCACCACAGGGAGAGTAACTGATCATACCACCACAGGGAGAGTAACTGATCATATTACCACAGGGAGATAAGTAATTGCCTAAAAAACAGACCGATTACTTAATATCCCCCAAACTACAGGTCAGCCACTTAGGACCAGCTGAGATAAGGGTCAGTCCTAATGCCGTGGGTCCCAGTGGCGTTACATACCTTGAGGGACTCCGCTGTCTCCTGGCGAGTGTTGGTATGTTTCTTCGTTTGTTTTTATTTGTTTTTCTTGTTTGCTTTTGTTTTGGTTTTTTGTTATTCTCGAGGGGATATTGAATATACATACATACATACATACATACATACATACATACATACATACATACTAAGAGCATCCCGTTGCCCTAAATATTTCCTTATAATTCTAAAAAAAAAATCATTGTTATTTTATTGTCGGTAAATATGACTCCGTGATTTTAATTTAACCTGGAATGGCCTCTGGTATCCTTCCTTGAGCTGAGGGTGAGTGGAGGAAACTCTTATGTCAGTCAGTCAGTCCAGTCCAGTCAGTCCAGTCCAGTCAGTTAGTCAGTCAGTCAGTAAGGAAGGAAGGTAGGAAGGAAGGAAGGAAGGAAGGAAGGAAGGAAGGAAGGAAGGAATGAAGGAAGGGCTAGAGGGAGTATGCTTAAGGATATTATGGCATTTTCTTAGACAATGAGAATTTGTAAGCGTATTTTTAGGTATTTTAAGACCTTGAATATAGGTAACTGCATTTGAGCATTTCTAAGGCTGAGTACATGTTACCATTCTCTAATACAGTGATAGTGAGTACATGTTATCCAAGACAGAAATAGTGAGTACATGTTACCCAAGACAGTAATAGTGAGTACATGTTACCCAAGACAGTAATAGTGAGTACATGTTACAATTCTCCAAGACAGTGATAGTGAGTACATGTTATCCAAGACAGTGATAGTGAGTACATGTTACCCCAAGACAGTAATAGTGAGTACATGTTACAATTCTCCAAGACAGTGATAGTGAGTACATGTTACCATTCTCTAATACAGTAATAGTGAGTACATGTTATCCAAGACTGTGATAGTGAGTACATGTTACCCAAGACAGTAATAGTGAGTACATGTTACCATTCTCTAATACAGTGATAGTGAGTACATGTTATCCAAGACAGTAATAGTGAGTACATGTTACCATTCTCCAAGACAGTGATAGTGAGTACATGTTACCCAAGACAGTAATAGTGAGTACATGTTACCATTCTCCAAGACAGTGATAGTGAGTACATGTTACCCAAGACAGTAATAGTGAGTACATGTTACAATTCTCCAAGACAGTAATAGTGAGTACATGTTACCCAAGACAGTAATAGTGAGTACATGTTACAATTCTCCAAGACAGTGATAGTGAGTACATGTTACCCAAGACAGTAATAGTGAGTACATGTTACCATTCTCCAGGGCTTGAGTATTAAATATAGGGAACATAACCAAGGACAGACGCTTCAGTAGGTAGTTTCAAGAGCATTAAACATGTATTAGTCGTCAGTGTCCTCCATGCATTATATATACAGTAAGATTGTGGAGTCAATGTTTCAGATAAGTTTTTATTTTTATTTAAAGTATTTTCGTGTGTGTGTGTGTGTGTGTGTGTGTGTGTGTGTGTGTGTGTGTGTGTGTGTGTGTGTGTGTGTGTGTGTGTTAGAGATTGGTGTATCGGATATGTTAAAGGTGTGTTAGGTGTGTGAGAGATGGCAGGTTTGTGAAAAATGTGTCAGGTGTGTAAGAGGTGTGTCAGGTGTGTGAGAGGTGAGTCAGGTGTGAGAGATGTGGCAGGTGTGTGTGTGTGTGTGTGTGTGTGTGTGTGTGTGTGTGTGTGTGTGTGTGTGATGTGTGTCTAGTGTGTGATGTGTGTCAGGTATGAGTGAGGTGTGTGATGTGTGTCAGGTATGAGTGAGGTGTGTCATGTGTGTCAGGTATGTGTAAGGTGTCTCAGGTGTGTGAAATATGTGGCAGGTGTGTGAGAGATATGACAATTTATTCACCGGTCTTGTCTCGCCTTGACACAGCAATGAGGTACGCCCACTCACACATTTCCTTCCCTCACCCCTTCCCTCCCCTCCCTTTTCTTACCCCTTCCCTCTTCCCTCCCCTCGCTCACCCCTCCCTCCCTCCCCCTAGGTGTTGAGGCAGTACTAGCGCCACTGCGGGCAGAACGGCGGGCGAGTGATAGTCTGTGTAATTTCCATAAGCGTGACATTGCCGGGCGAGGGGGAGAACGTCTGGCCCTAGTGGCGGTGCTGGGGCCCAGAGCCTCTACCATCACTTCTGTCATATGACAAGTGGGCCCCAAGTGTCATGTGACAAGTGGACCCCAAGTGTCATGTGACAAGTGGACCCCAAGTGTCATGTGACAAGTGGACCCCAAGTGTCATGTGACAAGTGGACCCCAAGTGTCATATGACAAGTGGACCCCAAGTGTCATGTGACAAGTGGACCCCAAGTGTCATGTGACAAGTGGACCCCAAGTGTCATGTGACAAGTGGGCCCCAAGTGTCATATGACAAGTGGACCCCAAGTTGCATATGATAAGTGGGCCCCAAGTTTCATATAACAAGTGGGCCCCAAGTTTCATATTACAAGTGGGGCGCAAGTGTCATATGACAAGTGGACCCGAAGTGTCATTTGACAAGTGGACCCGAAGTGTCATATGACAAGTGAACCCGAAGTGTCATATGACAAGTGGGCTCCAAGTGTCATATAACAAATGGCCCCGAGTATCATATGACAAATGGGCCCCAAATGTCAAATGAAAAATGGATCACAACTGCTATGACAAGTGGCAACAGCTCATATGATACTACACCCGACTGTCATATGACACGTGAATCACAGCTAGTACAAGACACGTGAACCAAAACCCCCATACACACCACACAGAAGATCACGTGACACCACACACCACATCCTCCTGCACCTGGCGGGTGTTCCTCCTCCAAGATGTATGGAGGTGATCCCTGATGTAATGAAGAGAACAAAACCGTGAAGTTATTTCCTGTATCTGGACAGTGTTCCAACATGTAGAAAAATGTAAGATAACTCGTCATTGACTTGGTGTGTACTGAGGGCCTCGTGGCTGTGAGACGAAATCAACCTTCACTGCCCCCGACGAGGGTTCTGCTCCCACGAACTATTCTACCCATCTCGACTCTCCCCTTCTCTCTCCTTCTCTTCCCCTTCTTAGCGAAAAAAAAAATGACCACTATCTATCATTTCCACCTAATTATCTATCATCTATAATCTATGCGGGCGGCTGCTGAATGACTCGTTCTTATAGCGGGCAATTATGCAGACGACTTGGGTGGTCAATAGGACTGGCCCTAAAAGTACGACATCTGCGCGGGAACACCACTGCCAGCATCCCACGGGGGGACAAGACCGCGCTACAAGGAAGGTGGTAGCGGGAACTGTGTTGTGGCGGCCCATGACGCTTGTGCTGCCTTTATTTGAGCGTATGGATGGTTATACAAGAGAGGTTAGGCTCTATGTTGAAAATTAGTCGTTGAATGAAAGTGACGGTGGTGTTGAGTGTGGGCGTTGGTGGGCGTGTGTTACAGCATTGCTAAGAGTCCGTGGGCGGTTCCCTCAGCGCCTCGTATATACCGCAGTAGTTGTCAGCTTAACAGTAAAATGTCATCACATAATCTTTGAAGCATTCAGATTTGTTCATTAATGTTATTATGTTTTCATCAATCGAGTGACAACACGATGGCGCGCTAAGAGTAATAAAGCCATTTACATCGTATTTCAGGGACTCCCCGCCAGCAGGCCTTGGTAACACTGGGCGTGGAACTCCTGGGCAGCCCCCTTCGCGTTGATTGGTCGGCTCAGCCTTCCAGTGAAGCCTCAGTAGCCAATCGGAGTAATTCTTTTTGCCCACCTGGAGTCACGGAACGTATAACTGTAAGCGTATTTCTCTCGTTATTGCCATGCAACGTTATTTATTTCCTTTCATTGTGCCATATTGTTGTTGACGAGTCCTATTTACACTATTAACACTTCAGAATTTACTAGCAAGATAAAAGATCGTCGGTGTAAGGTGAGAGAGTTGCGTGCGCCGAAGTAACTCACGCGGAGCGCACGCAGCAGCAGCAGCAGCGGCAGCAGCCCTCACCTGGTGAACTTACAAGGGTACAACATTCTCTCTTCATCAAACGCGGCCGCCACACCAGCCCACCGCCACACACCGTCGCTTCACCACTTACACTACCACAACACCACTCACTCCCGCCTCGCACCATTAGTACACTGGTGACAGGAGACGGGGTGAGTGTTGACCACAGGAGGGCGGCCAGGTGTACGCTGGCGTATTTACCTCTTGAGGTGTTCTATTTATTGTATTTATACGCGACGCCTCGCATGTGCGGAGAGGTCAATATTTGCGCGTGATGGAGCCACGCCACCAGTGAGTTAGATACAAAAAAAGTGTCAAGTAAAGGAGAGAGAAGTAGAGAGAGAGGGAGGGGGGAGGTGTAGAGTGTGTGTGAGTGTGTGTGTGTGTGTGTGTATGTGTGTGTCATTGTCTTGACTCCACGCCGGGCCTCTCTCAACGCCCCCAGACGCTCGTCATGTGAAAAATTTAGACGTATCGAGTGAGATTGATCGTGGTGGGTTACGTCGGCTGGCGTCAAGTGGTGACCCAGGTAGTGGTGAACAGCTACCACCACATCCACCACCACCACTACTACTACCACTGCCACTACTACTACTACAAGTGGTGACCCAGGCAGTGGTGAACGCCTGCCACCACCACTACCATTACTACCAGCCTACTACAACAATTAGTAGTGAACACCTACCACAGCACTACCAGCGTGTTACAACAGTGATGATCAGGGGCAGTGAAGCGAGGCAGCAGCTCCTACACGTGGTGACTCATCTGGAATTATAAAAATAAACAAATGGCTCTAAACATCGATCACCTCAGGAACACAACAGTGGTTAGTTTGTTATTGTGTCAACTATATTAACAACGGGGGAACTATTGGCACACATAAACCATTATAATGAATAAACCATCAAGAAAGTTTAACCACTGAAATGTAAACTCAAATTAAACAGATAAACTACCTAAGAGAGAAAAGATATATGTAGAAAAACCTGAAACAGATTAAGAAAAGTGAACGCATGCGATAAACGAGAGATAAAGAGAGCAGACTAACACGTGGACGACACACCAGACAGATGACATAGTCGTGGTCGGCCCCCACGAGGTCGTGTTGCTCTACCATGTGTCATAGAGTTGTAGGCAGTGTGGTCGTGGTCGGGTCGTGGCCAGAGCGGCACTGGTGAGCCGCCGCGTCTGACCATGGCACCCCCACCAAGCTGGCACTTCCCTGTGGTCGTTGCCATACTCGTCTCCCTCGCCATAATCTTCCCCGCGTGAGTATCTATTATTGTTGCCATAGACGGGGTGTAGATGGTAGACTGAGGGTGTAGATGGTAGACTGAGGGTGTAGATGGTAGACTGAGGGTGTAGATGGTAGACTGAGGGTGTAGATGGTAGACTGAGGGTGTAGATGGTAGACTGAGGGTGTAGATGGTAGACTGAGGGTGTAGATGGTAGACTGAGGGGTGTAGATGGTAGACTGAGGGTGTAGATGGTAGACTGAGGGTGTAGATGGTAGACTGAGGGTGTAGATGGTAGACTGAGGGTGTAGATGGTAGACTGGGGGTGTAGATGGTAGACTGAAGGTGTAGATAGTAAGATGTATGATAGATAGAGGGTGGAATACTAGGGTAGATAGATAGATAGTTAGATTGTGTCAGGTAGTCAGGTGGTGTCAGGTAGATGGTAGATGTGTAGTGTAATTAAAGAATCAGGTGAATGGTAGGTAGATGCTGTCAAGTAGATGGTAGATAAATGGTATAGTACTAGAATAGACAGATGGTTAAAAGTAGATGACACGGGGAAAATAGTAAAATAGAATGACGGGGAAAATAATATGACACGGGTAAATAATATGACACTGATAAAAATAGAATGGTAGTGTGTAATACTAGAGGAAAGGGAGATATTGAGAATATTAACATAATGTAGGATGACTGTTGTGTGTGTGTGTGTGTGTGTACCTGTGTGTGTGTGTACCTGTGTGTGTGTACGCATCTTGGTGTGTGATTCGCGTTTTCTGTGCTTGTCAACTGGAGGATTTTGTATCTTATTCAATATTTTTTTTTCACTTACGTTTTTTTAAGTTAAAGATGATTTAGTCACTATGCGAATATTAGTCATGTATTTATTGTAATGTGTATAGTAATTATTTTGGTAATATTGTGAATATTATTTGTCTATAAAAATATTTATATACAAGAAATATTGGAGATAATTCTTATTGTGATGTGTCGTTTGTGTGTTGCTGTTGTGATGTGTCACTTCTGTGTTGCTGTTGTGATGTGTCACTTCTGTGTTGCTGTTGTGATGTGTCGCTTCTGTGTTGCTGTTGTGATGTGTCACTTCTGTGTTGCTGTTGTGATGTGTCACTTCTGTGTTGCTGTTGTGATGTGTCGCTTCTGTGTTGCTGTTGTGATGTGTCACTTCTGTGTTGCTGTTGTGATGTGTCGCTTCTGTGTTGCTGTTGTGATGTGTCACTTCTGTGTTGCTGTTGTGATGTGTCACTTCTGTGTTGCTGTTGTGATGTGTCACTTCTGTGTTGCTGTTGTGATGTGTCACTTCTGTGTTGCTGTTGTGATGTGTCGCTTCTGTGTTGCTGTTGTGATGTGTCACTTCTGTGTTGCTGTTGTGATGTGTCACTTCTGTGTTGCTGTTGTGATGTGTCCTTCTGTGTTGCTGTTGTGATGTGTCTTCTGTGTTGCTGGTGATGTGTCCTTCTGTGTTGCTGTTGTGATGTGTCACTTCTGTGTTGCTGTTGTGATGTGTCCTTCTGTGTTGCTGTTGTGATGTGTCACTTCTGTGTTGCTGTTGTGATGTGTCACTTCTGTGTTGCTGTTGTGATGTGTCGCTTCTGTAAAAATTTCCTGCTGCTGAACTTATTATTTTCAGTACTTTGACCTTACGGATGTTTCATAAGGTATAAAAATATTTATTACAGTATATATATATATATATATATATATATATATATATATATATATATATATATATATATATATATATATATATATATATATATATATATATATATATATATATATATATATATATATATATTATCCTTGATTTGCGTGTGACACGTGTTGAGGCGTTGCGTGTGTCTACATCACTGACGTATATTGATTCTACACACTTTTAAGATGATGATCACTTCTGAAAATGAATCAATACAAGTCTTATACTTTCCTCCCCCCCCACCCCTTCCCTCCCTCACCGCTGTCACGCATATTCCTCCGTGTGACTCTCATGTATAATGTATTAACACTTACCATTTATAGGGTGGAGGAAGGAGTGTAGGGGTTGCATGTCACGTGTGAGGTGAGGTGAGGGGGAGGTGTTGTAATGACAGGTCTCATACTCGCTACAGTATACTTGTGTTTACAGGACTATGGTGTGTAGGAGCTTACACACATACGCACACATAAACTATACTCTTGTGTGTATATATAAATATATATATATATATATATATATATATATATATATATATATATATATATATATATATATATATATATATATACATAATAATCGAAACCACTCATTAGAAATTAATGTAATGATCATATGTAAGGGCGTGTGTGTGTGTGTGTGTGTGTGTGTGTGTGTGTGTGTGTGTGTGTGTGTGTGTGTGTGTGTGTGTGTGTGTGTGTGTGTGTGTGTGTGTGTGTGTGTGTGTGTGTGCCACCTGTCATCACTGAACACTGTTATAGTTAAACCATAACCATCGGTGTTCTGGGAAGGCAACAGCGATACTCTCAACCTGAGGAATCGATCACCTGAATAATTGAAGGGTAATCGAACCGGAATTTTATTATCGTATATCGTTTTCCAACCTGTCTTTACCTGTCTTGTATTAGGGTGAAGTGTCTGGGGAACTTGTGCTGCTCTGCTCCACGTTATATATTTATCAGAAAATCAATGTATTTGTTGCTAAGTACATGTAAATTATATACGACAAATTATAATTTTTGTATACCACAATATTTACGAGTGTTTTTAGGAGAACTCCGTGAGTTAAGTCTTGCGTACGTTTCTCGAAAGTACTGGAGTCTCATTTGACTAATTACCCAAGGACACGAGAGCGTAAAACTTTCAGCAGCACCCGTAAAACTATTAAAGGTAATTGTAACAATTTTGCGTGTTAGGTGTGCAATCGTGGCGGTCCAGGGAGGGAGCGTAACCCCCCCCCCCTTACTATTAACGTGAACAATAGTGCATTCCAAGACTTCATACGAGTCACACTATTGTTGTACTCTCCACCTCTTACTGCATTCTTCACTCTTATGGTACATGTGCATCAAAATTCTCCCTTTTTTAGCCTGTTATTCTTCTGCTCAGCTCCACGATATAAAGAGAGGTGCTTTTATGTTTTTACAAGGTTGAGCAGTGTGACATTACAGGTGTGTTGTGGCTGAGTGGCAGTTTGTATGCAAGGATCGATACAGGGGCGGAGGGAAACGCTTTAGGCAGCATTGTGCTTGATATACTGACAGTAAAACATTGACGAGTTAACCCAAGTGTGCTAGAGATTCTGCAGCCAACCTTACCTTAAATATGGGGTAGGTTGTGAAATAAATATACCTATGGCGCGTGTGTGTGTGTGTGTGTGTGTGTGTGTGTGTGTGTGTGTGTGTGTGTGTGTTATAAACTGTACTATCATACCGTAGATGTCATAACGATCAACAGTTCCAGAGGCTCAATATAACGAAGTCAAATCACCAGTCATATAATAACTGGCACTCACTAAACGCCATATACATATGTGTGCCACAATACCAGGTCCACAAATACTCGGCACTCGGTGCACGAAACGATATGTGTAATGAATTCAGTCAACGTTTTGTTTTGAGGCGAAAAGTATAACGTATGAATGTTGTTTTTTATTTGGGGGTGAGTGACGGCGACACAAATGTTTCTGTGTATGAAAATTATTCCTGAGTGGTGGTATACGACCAAGGTAAAGTTGGCACCCACAAAAAAGGTGGAGAGAGAGAGTACGTTAATTATTTATGAAGGTAAATAAACAAAAACACGAGGTAGGAGACGAGTGTAGAGTACAGGATTACACCCTGTGTCGTCGCCAGGGCTGCCGGATATACCCTGTGTCGTCGCCAGGGCTGCCAGATATACTCTGTGTCGTCGCCAGGGTTGCCAGATATACCCTGTGTCGTCGCCAGGGCTGCCAGATATACTCTGTGTCGTCGCCAGGGTTGCCGGATATACTCTGTGTCGTCGCCAGGGCTGCCAGATATACTCTGTGTCGTCGCCAGGGTTGCCAGATATACCCTGTGTCGTCGCCAGGGCTGCCAGATATACTCTGTGTCGTCGCCAGGGTTGCCGATACACCCTGTGTCGTCGCCAGGGCTGCCAGATATACCTGTGTCGTCGCCAGGGCTGCGATATACCCTGTGTCGTCGGAGATATACCCTCTGTGTCGTCGCCAGGGCTGCCAGATATACCCTGTGTCGTCGCCAGGGTGCCAGATATACCCTGTGTCGTCGCCAGGGCTGCCAGATATACCCTGTGTTCGCCATTGCCAGATATACCCTGTGTCGTCGCCAGGGCTGCCAGATATACCCTGTGTCGTCGCCAGGGTTGCCGGATACACCCTGTGTCGTCGCCAGGATTGCCGGATACACCTGTGTCGTCGCCAAATGTGTTTGCCGGATATACCCTGTGTCGGCACCCTGTGTCGAGGGTTGCCGGATATACCCTGTGTCGCGCCAGGGTTGCCAAATACACCCTGTGTCGTCGCCAGGATTGCCGGATATACCTGTGTCGTCGCCAGGGTTGCCTCACCCTGTGTCGTCGCCAGGTTGCGGATATACCCTGTGTCGTCGCCAGGGTTGCCAAATACACCCTGTGTCGTCGCCGGGATTGCCTGATACACCCTGTGTCGTCGCCAGGATTGCCGGATACACCCTGTGTCGTCGCCATTGCCGGATATACCTGTGTCGTCGCCGACCCTGTATGGTCGCCAGGGCTGCCGGATACACCCTGTATGGTCGCCAGGGCTGCCACCCTGTATGGTCGCCAGGGCTGCCGGATACACCCTGTATGGTCGCCAGGGCTGCAGGATACACCCTGTATGGTCGCCAGGGCTGCCGGATACACCCTGTATGGTCGCCAGGGCTGCCGGATACACCCTGTATGGTCGCCAGGGCTGCCGGATACACCCTGTATGGTCGCCAGGGCTGCCGGATACACCCTGTATGGTCGCCAGGGCTGCCGGATACATTGTATGTATGGTCGCCAGGGCTGCCGGATA